AGGAAAGGCAAGTGGGCCCAGAACTCCAGGGTGCATTTGAGGGCCAGGGGAGTGAAGAGAATGTGAAGGGTCTGCCAGTGAGAGAGACAGAGGATGTCCTTAGTGTTCTCACATCCTCTGGCAGCAGCCTTACCTAAGCATAGTATTGAAACAGCTCCACGGTGCAAATTTGCCTAATTTCTCTATGTGGGCAGGGACCTAGACTCCTCCTGGTCACTGTCCATGCACCAAGTGAGTCCTGACTATCTTAGAGAAGTTTTAAAACTTTTTATTGAAGAATAATACGCNTGGTGCAAATTTGCCTCATTTCTCTATGTAGGCAGGGACCTAGACTCCTCCTGGTCACTGTCCATGCACCAAGTGAGTCCTGACTATCTTAGAGAAGTTTTAAAACTTTTTATTGAAGAATAATACGCGTGCAGCTCAATGGATGTTCACACACTGAACACACCAACCAAAAAATAAGGAGACCAGTACCCAGAGGCCCCTCCCACGCCCCTTCCTGGTGGGCTCTGGAACTCATTCCTGGACCATGGACCATGGACCCCTCTATTCGTGATCACTCTTGCAGGAGAGCATGTGTGTGGTGCATTAGAGGGATGTGCTCTATTAGAAAGGTCCTTCCTCTCTGTGGTCCCAGCGTCCGCCACGGGGCCTAGTGGGCACACACCAGGTACAGTCAGTTCTCATAGTTACGCTCTATAGCATTGTCGCAAACACTGAATTAGCAGATACTGAACCACTGCTCCCTGGGAAATGCAGAGTGAGGTTCCTGCGAGCCTCTGCTCACATTCCACCAGCTGATCAGTACATAACCTACTGCTCTGCACATGTCTGCAGGTGATCATGGCGGGTCACAAGTATCGATTTGGGGTTTTGCAATACACTTTAGCAAGTAGGAAATTCTCAAATATGGAATTCACAAACAATGAGAACCGACTGTTTGTTGAATTGGTAAAGGAAGGAATGGTGCTAAGTTTAGTCGAGGTGGAACTAGGGCACAGCCCCACCACCTGTCATTACAGACAGGAGCTGGCTGTGTGACCAGCCTCCCTCCGTCTCAGAACGCGCGGCCTGGTGCTGAGATGAATGCTCGCCCGAGCGCTGTTCCGCGGTGGAGCGCACAGCCTGGCTCTGGACGGGACCCACGGGAACAGCGGGGGCTGCCAGCATGGATTGATCAGGAGCTGTCTTTGTAAGCTGAGACTGACAACAGATCAATAAATGCTTTTAAAAAAACAACCTCAACTTTCATACAGGAAGTCAGACGTACATGCTTGGTGTGGTAAGGCCCCCCCCCATTCCCACCCCAGTGATCCCCTTAGTGCCTGTGTACAAACTGCGTTGGCTCCATGTAGACCAGGGCCCTGGCAGAGGACCTGGAAGCCAGACAGAACCAGGAAGATGCTGTTACAGAAGCCAAGCCACTGTTCTGGCTGCAGCTGATTGCAACGAGTGTGGATGGTACACCCAGTTTAGAACAGGAATCTTAGCAAACTCAGCCCTCTCCTTCCTCAGAGGCTATCTGGAGGGCTGGGGAAGAGCTGTTGCAGTGTGATTTTAAGATGACAGCGTAAGAAAAATAGACTGGAAGGAGTGTGCCCAAGCGTTAACACAGCTCTGCTGGCCATCGGCTTAGGGGGACTTCGCCTCTACACATTTCTCTGCTCCCTAAGTTTGTGCAATGTGCATGAGCTCTTCAATAAATAAGGGAGATATTTCATGAAAGGAAAAAGTTCTTAAAAATTGCTGCTTCAAAACTGGCAGCATAGGGCACACGCTCACCCAGTGGCTGCCTCCGCTCGTGGTGAAACTGCCAGCACACTCCTGGTGCAGGAAAGAAAACAGCCACCTCTTCCAGGCTGAATGCAGTCGCCCTGTTACCAAGAACGCAGTTCCCAGGAGCAAACTGGAAGGGACAAGAATAGGATTTGTTGCAGGTGTGAGTGGTGAGTCTTGAGCACAGTCCCAGCCGTGGTCTACCCTTGGGTCCCTAGCCTCGTCGGAGGGCCTCCTCTCACCGCAGTCCCCAGGAGCACTGCGTGTGCCCTGTTCCATAGAACTTTCTCCAGCAAGTTTTAAGTACTCTTTTGGGCTCAAAGAGGGTGACCCAATTGCATGGCATAGGACATCGCTGAAGCTATGTTCTGTGTCCTCGCGGTGAGTGACATGAGTGCCAACACCCCACACTGAGCTGCATGGGGCTGGGGAGGCAGCCAGAGCCCCTGAGATGCTGGGGCTGCCTTGGCATTTCACAGCTGCCATTCTGCCTGTGGAGTAAAACCCGTATGGAAATTTTCTCCCCACTTAACACTTTGTCTTGACTGAATTACTCAGAATATTCTGTTGACCGAGGTAGTGAATTTCAACCTGTAGTCAAATCCTTCTGTCCAGTCTGCCCGTGGTGAGGCCCAGGTGCCCGGCCAGTACTCGCTGGGCACTGCTGAGAGGATGGCATGGCCCGACACCCTGGGCCAGGGGGAGCAGAGAACACAACCAGTGACTTCCCTGAGAGAGGAGAGATCAGGGAGGTGAATTAAGCCTTTTAAGGAAAGTCCAGGGAGACAGCATGAGGACTTTGTGAACCAGGGATTGATAATGAAGCATGAGAAGCGAGACTTTCTGTATAACATGCAACACCCAACTTTCCTTTTTTGTGCCAGGGTCTCTGGACAAGAAATAAAATGTAAAATTATGTTGTAAATGGGCTACTATTAGAACAGAACTTGGTGTGTAGTTTGTGTCATGTGTTTGCTAAATAAGTTCTGATGACCGAAACCATGTGTCAGTGGGGTAGACAGTGAGCTAGCAGACATGTCTAGTGCCAACCACTGGGGCAGATGTCTCAGAGAGTTACAGAAGAATTAGGAGAGGGAGAGATTGTCCAGCGAGGGGGACCAGAGGAGGCTGCATGGAGGAGGCGGCACCTGGGCGGGGCCTTGGTGGACAAGAAGGGGTGATTCTGGAACAGGACATGTAATCCCTTGTCACCTCTCTGGGCCATGACCACAGCCTCCAGATGTGCCCCTGGATTGACCCCTCGAGAAGGCCAGAGGGGTCCTTCTCAGTCGCCCCTCCTGCCCTGCACCTTTCCGGGCCACGCTGCAGACAGCTCTGCCTCTGCCCCCTCCTCCTGGGAGGCCTTCCCCGCCCCTCTTCTTGACCTAGAAGGTTTGCTGTCCTCCTCCAGGTCCCAGCCCCTCAAATCCTCAAATCCTTCCCACTAGCTTAGGCCCTGTGCTGTGGGAAGGAGGGGGGGAGGAAAGAAGGGGAGTGGGAATGTTGGGCTGTGCCTAAGAATAGAAAATAGGGCTGGATTATACATTTGAAAGTAATCCGAGCACATCTGAGTGTTGAAATCAGGAGCAGAACAGAGACATTTGGGTGAAGGAGAGAAAGGCCAGGGGTCGGGAACAGGAAGAATCTCCAGGTTCAGGAGCGAGCCTGGCAAGGACCTAGAGAGGGAGCTCCCAAGGAGGACAGGCTACCTAGAGCGATTATGTGGTCACATGGGAGCTGCAGGGGGCGAGCAAGCTGAGGATGGGGAAGGATCAGTATTTATGGTTCCGTGGTGGGCAGGTAGCAGTGTCCTCGGCTGGCTGGGTGTAGGGATTAGCTGGAGAGACGTAGGCGGAGGCCACAGCATGAGGGTGGAGGGAACTGGAGAGCTGGGGCTTCAGGGGGGTGGCTTGCCTCAGTGGAGACACTTCCTTTGAGCTGTAGGAGACCCAAGCACGATGCAAAGCAGCAGGAAGATGGCAGTGGCCAGGAAGAGCCTCGGGAGGCAGGAAGGGACAAGGGATGAGTAAGAGAAATGGAGCAGGGTACCCAGGGCACAGTGGGGTGAAGGCCTCAGGGAGCAGCCAGGAGAAGGACAGGAGCTATCCCCAGCTGCCAGGCCAAGGAGAGGCCCTTCTCAACTGGTGGGAGACAGGTTCTTGGGGCAGTGGCTTCTGTCCCTCGTCCCTCCTTGGTGACCAGGCGGCTGAGAGAAAAAGGACTCCAGGTTGAGCTGTAGGCAAAAACAAAAAACAAATAGAGTAATATCCCATACACACCAGAACAAGGGATGGCATATTTTAAACCACAGAGAGCGATGATGCTGACTCTCTGGGACATCTGCTGTGACAGACACCCCCTCGCCTGGTGACCCAGGTGCTCAGTGTGGGGGGAGAGCCAGAGGGCCAGGGGCCGGCCGTGTGGACATGAAGTCGGTCTTTGTTCCGTGTGCTGGAGGCCGACATTCAGCGGGGCGGGCTGGGGCACCATTTGGATCTTGTGTACTTTTGAGAGAAAGAACTTTTGAATCTGTGAAAAGCCATTTATTTCATCCGTACGTTTCCTTGAAAAAAATAATATTGCTTCTTTTTTCTGTTGGTGAAGGTAATAAATTCTCATGGTAGAAAATAAGAGAATACAGAGGGTTAAGAAGTAAGGGGCGGGCTGATGCACAGTCTCACTGCCCAAAGATGAGCACTGTGAACGTGGGGGAAAATCCAGGCAAACGTTATGGTTTTAAAGGCACTATTTCTCCTCTCTAGCATATTAAGGAAGACGCTGTGGCTATTTTGGGTGTCATTCTTTACAAATGGAAGGCCATGGCCACAGTTTTTAGAAGAAAAACGATATGTGTCTACAACTTCCAAACAAATCAGGAAGCACCTACTGGCCCATAGTGACAGGCATATATTACAGAAATCTTATCTATGTACTTTTATGTCATTTTGGAAAATATCCCACAGGAGGAAGTTGGCTCTGTATAGGAGCAGTTACATTTAAGCTCTTGTGGCTCAGACTAGAGGAGCATAATCTCTTAAATGAGAACACAAAGTCCCCTAAAGAAAAGTAATAGTCTCCCCAGAGAGGCTCCCAGACATCTTTTCCCTCCCACCACCCCCTGCTCCCCTCGTCCCCACACAGTGTCCTCTGAGTGGGAGCAGCAAAAGTGAGACTGACAAGGGAATAGGCCTGTTTTGACAACCTTGTGTCTCTACCCACAGAGAAGGGTCTGCCTCCCACAGCAAAGGGGCCTGGAGCCGAGGGCCAGCCTGGGCTGCCCTGGATCACCATCACTCCACAGAAGCGGCAAGGGGCCCCTGAGCAGCCACCCAACCAGGAGGACAAGCATGGGGCCCAGACCCTGAAGTCTGAAATCGGGAAGTCAGCCAAGGCCCCCGAGAGAACGCAGGTAGGTGCTGGAAGCAAACCCTTCCTGTCCCTATAGATGTGGGAAAGAGCAGCTGTGGGGGCTGGGGGCCAAGACCCCGCAAGGACCACGCATCCTGCAGGTCGTTACACAACCCAAGGCCTGTGATGACGGCTGCTGTCTACCCCTGGCCTGTGCTGGGCTGTTAGGCAGAGAAGCAGGTGGATCACAGGCGGTAGAAACAGCTCCCTGCTCCCTGCCTCCTAGGCAACGCAGCATCTGGAGAAATGGAGCAGGGCTAAAATAACTTCTCCATTAGACTCAGCGACCATGTCAAAAGCTCCATCTCGACTCATTAGATGGTGATGGACCAGCCCTGCTTTTGCCACTGCACTGGGTGCCTGCCAGTTATGCCAGTGCAGATCAGGGTTCCTTACTCCCCACCCAGGGCTGCAGGGCTGGACCCCAGGGTTCCGTTTTGCAGTCTGGATTGGAAATAGCTTTTTCAAACCTGAACAACTGCTTAGAAGCAGGCTGAGAATCATGGCATTTGTGTTCCCCCTAAGAGCCACCATGGTGAATCCATAGTGTGTTTCGGCCATATGGGGAGGTGAGCCAGAGCCCACAGTAGGACCTGCTTCCCTCCATTTTAATCCAGATCTCAATCGTCCCCATGCCTGAACCCCTGCATGCAAACAGAGAATTTATAAAACAGATGCTAACCAGGGATCTGGTTTGGAACATCTGTGAGCATAGCAAGTGTCATAAAAATCTCAAGCTATTTCCAAACACTTTTCATTTTGACTTTCAAAAGGGATCCCTGCTGTCCAGTATCCAGGGCTGAGGCCAGGGGTGGGGACAGGGCAGAAACCAGGATGCCTGTGTACCCAGGAGAAGTCCACACTAGTCTGAGCTCCTGGTTCTGAAGGCTGGATGCCAGCGAGGGCACAAAGCAGAGCTCCCCAGAAAGCGCCAGCCGCACGTTTCCTGTTGACAGAGAGACCTCATGGCTTATTGCCTTGGGTTCTGCTTCTACCCACCTGAACCTGTACAGCATGTGTCTTTCTTTTGTCCTAATAGGAGCCCATGAAGCAAGCCGACTTTGTCCGCAGCAAGTCTTTCCTGATCACCCCGGCTAAGCCCTCTGTGGACCGAAGGCCAGGAGCAAAGTTCTGCCTCCAGGAGGGGCTGCAAAGAGGGATCTCTCTGTCCCACCAGAACTTGGGTAAGAAACCTACAAATAGCCCCAGACGTTCCCAAGTATGTTTCCGGGATGAGGTTCCACAGGTTTTGTTTTTTGGTTTGGTTTGGGTTTTTTCTGAATTACTTGACACATTGATTTGCTAAAATAGCTTTTATTGGTATATCATTTCCATGCCATAAAACTTACCTGTTTAAGGGTACAGTACATCGAGTACTAATTGACAAAGAGTCTGTATTTACTGAGTTATACGACCATCACAATCCAATTATAGGCCCTCACCCTGAAAAGCAACCTTGTGCCCATTTACAGTCGTTCACCATCCCCCACCCCTGCTCTAGGCAACCAGGAATCTGCTTTCGGTCTCTTTGTAGTTACCCTCCCTAGGCATTTCTTATCCATGGAATAATAAAACGTGCTCCTTTGTATCTGGCTTCTTTCACTGAGCACTCCTCTCTGTCATTCCATGTATCAGTATTTTTTAAGTTTCTTTTTAATTATGGTAAAGTACACGTAACAGAACTTACCATCTTAGCCATTTTTAAGTGTGCAGTTCAGTAGAGTTAATATTGTACAACCAGCCCCCCCAGTTCTGCAGTTTTACTCTAGAACTTTCTCTCTCCTCACTTTATTTGAGCCTGCCTGTCAGTCTTTGTATCACATAAGTTATTCTGTGCCTAAATCTTCTTTACGTCTTTACACATTAAGGGCTTCATGTTTGAGACCACAGTTAAGACCTTGATACGTATTTTAAAGAAACGCAAGAGGCTTAAGTGAAAATTGAAACGCGTTGCTCGTGTTCCTGTTTGTTTTGTCTGCTTCCCAGCAGCTCAGTCTGCAGCAGTGACGGAGAAGGAACTGCATCAGCTGAAGAGAGCCAGTTACGCCAGTGCAGACCAGCCGTCCTGGATGGAACTTGCCAGAAAGAAATCTCAAGCCTGGAGTGACATGCCCCAAATTATAAAATAGCATGCTGCTAAAAACCTGTCCACCGCCTTGACGGATCCCTTAGTGAAAGCTGCTGCTACGGGCGGGCAGGGTGGAATTTAAAGAGTGGTCTTCATCATCAGGTTAGGGGCGGGCGAGCTTGGGGAAGAAGGAACCAGGCTATCCAGGAAGGCAGACACACGGCCACGGCCCGGGCCAGCAGCGCCCGAAAACAAGAGCGCCATTGAGGAGCCAGAGCAAGGCCCGGTGCCCGAAGGTATGAATGAGAGCCTTTCAGGGCTCCCTCCGTCACAGGGGCTCCGCGAGGAAGAGGGAAATGAAACGTGGGCGCAGAGCCGGGGCGTGGGGAGCGCGTGTCTGCCTCCACTGGGGATCGGCCGGTGTCTGTGGTCGCCGCCTTGCCTGTGGATCCTGTCTCCTCTCACGTTTACTACTGGGCGTGACATTTATGGTCAACAGCGATGCCACTTCCAAGGGCAGCTAAAAAGCAGTCAGTCTTCCTGAAGACAGTCACTCCATGCAGGGGCGGCAAGGACGCGGCAGGGCGCATCGACTCACACACTGTTTCCAACAACAATTTTTAAACTTTTCCACTAGGCGTTCTGTGTCCTTAACCGTTGCACAATGCATTGCCTGTTCAATAAAAGGTCTCAAACGTGCTTCTGTCCCATGTGTGAATGTTATTTCTACTCACATTTAGGGGACGTCCTCCAGCCCTGAGTTAAATGCAAAGTACAGAGTTTCATTTAATGTATATCTCATTTAAAAATCTCGATTGGCTTGACTTTGGAGTTGGTTTTTTCTTCGACCTTTTTCCTAATAAAATTTTAGTGTTTATTTTTGGGAATCAGAAATTAATGTAGGTTGGGGTTGGTGGTTTTTTTTCCCCCTCTTATCTATTTGGTATAACATAAAAAATACGAAAATTCGCAAAATGTTACAATTCTTTATCATCAAATTAATCCAGCCTGCATATTTCTATTAAAAACTAGGTTTTCAATGCATTGGCCAGGATGACCCATGAATGCAGAATGTGGAGAAGCCGGCAGAGAAAGAGCATATATTTTGGGATCTCAGAATCGTGTCCCAGTTACATAATACCTCTATTTTAAAAAACATTTCCAATTTGTTCTTTTGAACAAGCTGATCTCCATGGGAATATGTATATAGCTGGGAACATTTAGCCATCAGAATCAGTAAGACCTCATATATAGTATAATTTGATTTTATATACACTAAGTTCTGGTACTTTTATTGTATTTGCCATCTTCATGAATAATTATTTTTCTAGCTGTTAGAACTACACAAATTTAATCTAGTCTACCTTTATTGAAGATGTCATGGGATAGTTTTTCCCCCCCAATTAAATTGATATATTAATTGCACTGTCTTAGTATCAATACTGAACGTCACAGTGAATGTGCTCTGAGCAAGAGCTCCATCCATCTAACCTTTCTCTAAAAGCTTAGACAAGAATAGATTTAACTAGAAAAAAATTCATGTTGGCTATTATTACCCCAAACCATCATTTCTCCCCAAGACTGCAAGGACTGTCTCCAGCTCAAGCAGGGCTGCCAACTTGAGGATAACAAGGCTTTCTCATCCACATTGAGGAGACGATACTCATCTCCTTCACAGGAGAGAAATCATCAAGAAGAAATACATGGAGCTAATACACATGCCCCTGCAATTTTAAGAAAAATGCACTCGGTGAGATGGGCCCTGGATTTGCATCAGTTTTAAGTGGAAGACTGAGGAAGAAAAAAATGGAAAGGCAGTAAGCTTTATATTGGATCTTAAGAGAAACAGGGAAATATAGGGTGCCCCCAAAAATGTTTACATACACTTTGAATCAAATCATAAAGGCAGTGTTTATTAGAATACATTTCATTTTCAAAATTGAGCTATTAGCTGTTAGAAAGTGTGTATGTCTTTTGGGGGGACACCCTGTATTTCAATGGCAGCTGCATTGGGTTTAAAATGTGCTGCAAATTCTTGGACAGTCCTCCCTTCAAAAAGTGGAACCTAATTTGCCTTCCCTGATTGTGAGACAGACTTAATGCTCACTTCCAACTCAGCATATAGCTGAGGTGACTATGTGTGATTTCTGAAGTGAGGTGATGAAAGACACTGCTGCCCTTTGTCTGCACTCTTTGGGACTGTCCTCTCTGAGAGGAGTCAGTCACCAGGTCTTGAGGATGCTATAGCCTCTATAGCCCAGGTGGAAAGAACTGAGACCTCCTGTAATGAGCTAAATTGTACCCCCAACACACACACACACACACACACACAAACACAAATTATATGTTGAAGTCCTAACTCTTAATATTTCCAAATGTGACTATATCTGGAGACAGGATCTTTAAAGAGGTACTTAAGTTAAACAAGATCATTACGGTGGACCCTAACCCAATATGACTGGTGTTCTTATGAGAAAGAATTTGATACAGATACACACAGAGGGAAGACCATGTGACGACAGGAGAAGACAGCCATATGCCAGCCTAGGAGAGAGGCTTCAGAAGAAACCAGCTTCCAGCCTACAGAACTGTGAGATGATCCGTTTCTGTTGGTTAAGCCACAGTGTGTGGTACTTTGTTATGGCCGCAGGAGCACGCTGATACACCTCCTGCCAAGCACCAGCACCAGCACCAGCTTGCCAGCCATGGGAACGAGCCCCTTAGATGGGTTCCTCCAGCCCTAGCCAGGCCTTCAGGTAAGTGCATCCCAGGTGACATGCTGACTGTGAACTCATGAGAGACCCCAGGCCAGACAGGCCAGCCGGGCTGCTCCTAAATCCTGACGCGCTGAAATGGTTAGGTAACAAATGCTTGTTTTGTTTTAGCCCAGTAAGTTTTGGAGCAATTTGCTACTTAGCAACAGGTACCTAATACAGCAGGTTCATGTTGTTTTTCTGGTCCTAAAGTGAGAATGCCTTACTTGTTTTTACGTTAATATTTTACTTGGCGGATTCTGTAGAAACAAGATGGCGGCCCAGGTAGCAGCGGCACCCGCCGCCTCCCGCAACCACATCAAAGTTACAGCTAAAATACAGAACCACCGTCACTCAGAGCCTCCTGAGATCTGGCTGAACAGAAGCCCCACAACCAGGGACCTGAAGAAGCATTGAGACTGGTAGGAGGGGCGGAGATGCGGGCAGATTGGGGCAGAATCGAGAGACAGTCACAGGCCCGCACCCGGTGCCGCGGGTTAAACCCGGGAGGGAATCTTGGTGGTGGAGGTTTCCGAGAGGAGTGAGGGGTCACAGCCTCACATAAGGCCCCCAGCCCAGGGCTCCAGGGCCAGGAAAAGATGTCCCTACAACTTTGGGCTATGAAACTAGCGGGGACTATCGCTGAGGGACGCGGAGGGTGCAGGAGCCCCAGGCTTTCCTCTCAAAGGGCCCGCGCAGGACTCAGACGCGCTCCCTCTGAGCCCAGCGCCGGGCAGCGGCTTGAAAGGAACCTGGGACACTTGGGGAGGAACTAACCTGCCTGAAATTTGGGTGAGGGGTGGAGGGGCGGCTTCCTCCCAGGCAGAAGAGCTGGCGGAGGCCATTGCTCCTTTGGCCAGCCCTCCCCGCACACAGCCAGCAGGCAGGCGCCATATTTGAATCGCCAGCACCTGACTCACACCTTTGGCCCCGCCCTGTGATTCCCAGAGGCCCCGCCCCTCCCACCTACAGGCTCATCCAGGCCATTGCCAGTGGCTTTTCTATGCAAGTGGCCTCTCGAGCCTCATGCTTAGGACTTTACTAAAGTCTCTCAAACAAGCAGCAGCAGGCCCCATACCTCTCGATAAGTGGCCCCAGGCCTGGCACGAGCGGCAGCTGCATTGGCTCATAGCTTGGCCTCTCCTGGACACCTCCAANNCCCTCAAAGCCAACTGGCATGGGGATCAATTCCTACACAAACAGCAACCAAGGCTCAACTACAACAGGACAGTGCACACAGCCCACACAAGGGAGCACCTAGAAGGCCCAGCTCAGGTGACTGGGGATACTGAGCCACTGGACCCTACAGACACCTACTACACAAAGCCGCTCTACAAATTCCAGGAGACATAGCAGCTCTACCTATACATAGAAACAAACACTGGAAGCAGCCAAAATGTGGAGGCAAAGAAACATGTCACAAAGGAAAACAAAAGAAATCTCTAGAAGAGGAACTAAATGAAATAGATCCAAGCAAGCTAAAAGATACAGAGTTCAGAATTTTGTTTATAAGGATTTTTAAGCATACTATTAGGGAAATAACTGAGAAAATCAATAACATAATAAAGTACCAATTTGAAATGAAGCCTACACAAACTGAAATGAATAATTTACAGGGAATCAACAGTAGAGTACAGGACACTGAGAATCAAATCAGCAATTTGGAAAATGAGGAAACAAAAAACACTCAACCAGAAGAGCAAAAAGAAAAAAGAATCCAGAAATATGAAGCTAGTATGAGGAGCCTCTGGGACAACTTCAAGAGGCCCAACATTTGTATTATTGGGGTGCCAGGAGGGGAAGAAAGAGAGCAAGAAATTGAAAACCTATTTGAAAAAATAATTATAAAAAGCTTCCCCTACCTGGGGAAAAAATAGACTTACAAGTCCAGGAAGCACAGAGGGTTCCAATCAAGAGGAACCCAAAGAGGCCCACACCAAGACACATCATAATTAAAATGCCAAAGGTTAAAGACAAAGAGAGAATCTTAAAACCAGCAAGAGAAAAGCAATTAGTTACCTACAAGGGAGCACCCATATGACTGTCAGCTGATTTCTCAACAGAAACCTTGCAAGCTAGAAGGGAGTGGCAAGAAATATTCAAAGTGATGAAAAAGATGGAACTACAACCGAGAGTGCTCTACCCAGCAAAGCTATCATTTAGAACTGAAGGTCAGATAAAGAGCTTCACAGATAAGAAAAAGCTAAAGGAGTTCATCACCACCAGACCAGCACTACAGGAAATGTTGTAGGGTCTTCTTTAAGAAGAAGCTAATGAACAAAAGAATCTGATGAACTAAATAGATCCA